AGCTCAGTGTAAATGTTTAATTAAGACAATCAGAAATATTGAATGATGATTATTGTTTATGCCTTCATCAGCACTTTGGCAGTTTCTAGATTTCCTTGTTAATCTAAAATTGTTTTTTGTTGTAAATTGACTGTTTTACACAAAATAACTGATAATATAAATAGTGCTCCTTTCAGATTTATAGAAAACACAAATGATACTTATAAAACATCCTTCATTTCAACTAATTTTAAAGAATTGTTGAAGTGATCTGTTGTGTTTTTCTGCTCAAAAGTTACTGCATACATAGTAAGTGGAATGATATTAGAGTGTTCAGTTAAAACATCACAGAAAAAACATATAGAATAACTGTTATAAACCAATGAACACATTGCTATCTCTTAAGATAATTGTTTTAAAACTATTTTTCTATTTCTAAAACTTGATGCTTTTTCTTGGTTTTAGTTTAAAGTTCATTACTTTCTATTAGGAATGAAATTCTATTATCTCAGTTTAATAAGTTTGGACTATCATATGTTTGCCATGCTTTTATTTCATTCTAAAGTTCATCACTACTTTGCTACATAATTTATAATCCTTTCTAGAGATGCTTGAATGCTTGATGAGGTGCCTGTAAAATATGTTTCCATTTCTAGACAGGAGCTGCCTGGGGTTATAAGAGGTTCTGGATATCTATTTGGCTGCCAAACATGTAACTATTCTAAGGCACTGAATGCTTATGAAGTTATGAGTTTGAATGTCATGCTTGTTGCAAAACAAAGTACCCAAATAATCACATATACTTTGACAATGGCAGGACCTTCTATCATTAGAATAACTATTGTCAAGGAGCTAAGCAGCACAAGAGAGAGGGAGTTGTTTGTTATTCAGTCTGTTACTAGCTCCCCCATCAACCAAAAAGGTTTCAAATTATGGAAAGAATCATACCAAGCTGCTACTCGTGAACTTCGGCTGATCTATGGAAAGGAAGGACTGAATTTGTAAGTTGTACTTTTGGGGAGGGAAGGGGGTCAGTGTTGCTTGGAAGGTAGGATGTTTCTATTGTGTACATAACAAATTTGCAATTTTTGTGGCAATTTTGAATTCAGAAGACAAAAAAGAATATAATCCTTTCTGAGGTTCAAATGAAAAATTAGTGTTGAACTACTTTGCTTGATAGATTCTATAGGGTCTAATAAAATTTTACATCTTACCCTTTACATGAATATATCACTACATTATGCTTTTCCCTGAAACCTACCCATTCACTTCATGGCTAATATGGTTGAATGTGCTGAATTTTATAAAAGGAAAAGCCTTTGGTGGAATTTATTGAAGCCAAATGAGTAAGTCAACTGCTTTGGAAGTAAAGAAGGTCGCATACTATTATATTTTTATGTATCAATGAATGAAAACGGCACAACATGCTTCATAAAGAATTCCATATTTCTACATATGAAATATGAAACCTAAGGATGGCTCTTTTTATTTTTTAACTGATTGATGATATTTACTTTCTGTTGAAATAAATTCTGTTGAGGTAATGTCTGGTTTGGGCTTTCCGCTAATGTAAGTTATTTTGCTATGCTCTTCTTCCGGTCAGTAATGCTTACCGGCTTACCGCTCTTATCTTTTCCTATGCCTCAAGTCTTCTTCCTATTTTTTGGCAGTCATCTATATCTAAAATGGAACTATATTTGGTTTCATCATATAGTCTTGTTAGTCAGCAGAAAGAGTTTTTCAATCCTTCATGCATCTGTGTAAGGCTATCCTTGTTATTGTTAGCCTGCGGTACACTTTGTCTGACAATGAAATTCCACCTAAAGCTCAATGGCCTTTGAACATTGTATAATTCTTTTCCCCTCACTTTATGCCAGTGTCTACGTTTAGATACACAAGCATTCTTTCACGCCACTTTCCAATTGCTCTATTTTAAAGTGAATTGCTCTATTGATAGATGCATTATTCGACCGGCATCCATCCTTCTTAGCTTACATATAAGTAATTCACTTTGCATGACAATGCATTGCAGTAGTTGTGCCTTCAATTAAAATGCAAACTGTCGCAATAAGATCATATTTATTTGACTACTTTTATTAACAAATTACCACTTTTTCTTTTGTTTGCGAATACTATATAATGTGCAAAAATATAGCTAGGGCTTTAAGTCACAAAAATATTTTGGGCATTATCTCTATCGCGCAACGCGCGTTGAAAAAACTAGTTTCTACTATAAGGACAAATGCATTAACTTTGAAACGTGCTTCCTACCTGTTAGATTAAATTACTTCAAAAACCAATTGTAAATGTAAGTAATTCCTCCTCTCGAGACATCTAATAAGTGCAATTAATACCAATTCCCAGTCATCACGTAGACGTATATTGAACATCTAATTATACAGATGTAACTTCTAGAAAAAAGTAGCATGAAAATTGGCTGATTTGGCTGATTCTGCTGAAATTTATGAAGTTCTGGCTGAAGTGGCTGCATTGGCAAATTCTGCTAATTTAAGGAAAAGTTATTTTTAAAATACATTTTATCAATAAAATAAAGAAAAAATTATATGTAAAAATAGCTAAAATGATCATTTACAGTAACTTCAGTCAATACAGTCATAAAAGTAACTCCAACCTTACTTTTTCTGCTTATTACACAATTCAGCGCGCGAAAACAAAAAGTTACGTGTTTGATGAAAAAGTTGGCTGATAAGCTTAATAAGCCGAAAAACGGTGTTGCCAAACGGCCTCATAGTATAACAATAGAGACATCCAAAAGAAACAAATGAGAAGCTTACATTGAGGCAAAGGAAGTACAGAGTACATCATTATGCATATTGTGTTAAAACATAGTCCCTCTCTAACATTCATATCTTTCCACTTTCCTTTTCTGAACGTAACATTTATATCTTCCCATTTCTAAATCTTCTCATCATACCTTCAATAATTTAAAAAATACTCCGTAATACACTATTACACCTACTTTTTTTGGATTTATCCTTCATTCCATCACATTATTTCATTATCTTCCCATCATACCCTCAATAATTCATACCTCATTTCACTATTCTTAATCTCACATACTTTGGAAGTGGGAAGATATATGTGATACGGAGGGAGTAAAATTGAAAGAATTGTGCTAGGTGTACACAAATCTATAGAATTGTCTGTAGACAAACAATTCTGTGTGTGTGTGACCAAGCATTTTTCAAATTGAAAACAAACAACAAAATCCGGGGCAATTATTCACTGAACTTAAAAAATAAAAACGGTGTAATAATTAGCTTAGCCCGGTAAAAAACTTAGCTCACATTTTTATTGAACATCTTATGATAACAAACAATAGAACCCTCATCAAATAAAAGCTAATACAGGAGTAATATATACATATTTAACTAATCGATATGATCTTACTCTTTTTTTTTTTTTTTGCAGAACAACAAATTAGTTGCCTTAATAGGAATGTGGGAAAGTTTTTTAGGACAACCGAAAAAGGAAAGTTGGCAAAGTCCAATCGATATGATCTTACTCAAAAATTTAATTACACTCTGTAATTTAGCCAAACTCTAGAGAGTCTAGATCATTCTAATACGGATTACTGAAAATAAAATGCTTAATTAAAGCCAAATACGGAGTACAAATTAAGAGGATTTGAGTCTAGGAGGCTGAGAGCTCATTCATCACTTTAATTACTCCATCTCCACCGCCAAATCCATATCCGTATTTTAATAGGCACAACAAACAAAGAGCTAGCTGGTTTCTTTTACTTATCGTACAAACCAAAAAACCAAAGGATAAGAAGGTTTGCATAGCGACTCTGACAACTTACACTTTACCTGAAGGAAAATGTTAATATCTGCTCAACTCTCAAGCAATTCCCATGTTTGCCGAATCAAATTCCAATCGCTTTTGGCTGACCCGTTTATGACCCATTCCTTACCCGTGTTTTTAGGCGGGAAAAGTGGCCATAATTCCACCTCTTTTTATATAGATAGAGGTAGATTGGTTTCACCTTAGGTCAGAAAACAAGAATCGAATACCTATATTAAAATAATAACCTTGCTTTCAAGTATACATAGAGATTGATATCAGAAAAGTAGAAAACCAAGACTAAAAAGAACTATGATAAGAAAAGAAAATTTTGTTGTGACGGAGAGAGATGAGTTCTAAAATGTCCCACATTATTACGATTATTGCAAATACTTTGGGCATTCTGTTGAACAATATTTTTTTGGAAAACCATAGAGGCGGAAGAAGGAAAGGTTAAAAACAAGAATGAACATTATATTAATGAGAATATGAATCAAACTTTAAGTCAGTAATCTCATTTAAAGAATGAATACAATAAGCATGTAGAATGTGTGTACCATATTTCTTACAATATACTTAAGATGTTTTCCTTTGGACTGAAATTTGCTGGTTAGGTCTGGTCTGGTCTGATTTGGTCTGAACTAGTTTGGTCTGGTCTGGTAAATGTCTGGTCTCGGTATATTTTATAACTATAGAAGTCTGGTCTGGGACAGAAAACAGTCCAAAAGATAACATCCTTACACATTCAAGACTTTGTCCTAATGGTTCTAGTGTCAGCTCAACAATCATGGAATATCATCTCGTCTGGAAAGTTAAATAAACATTTTACAAGAACTAGCAGAAAGAATTCAATGTAATAATGTCAAAATCTACATTATTTAGAATTTCAATGATTTAATTAAAAAAGCTGTAAACTACTAATCTTTGGTGTTACATACTTGTGCATAGTACACAAAGGACTAGAGAAATCAGTTTTTTTTTTAATTCAAAAGAGACACTTCATTGAATAAAGAGTAGTGAGTTTACAAGTCTATCTACGGTGGAGAAATCACTTATTCTCATTAGAAACCCCCTGTTTGAGCAAAGCTAAGGTCAGTCAATGATAAGAGACAGTGGCGGGTCATTACTCATAAGAATAGGAGATGATTATCAGTTTATTAATCTGCAGCTATAGGTTTAAAAAAGAGAAAGAGCCCAAAACTGCTTGAAAATATATACAACCACATTGACATATTTCTTTCTGATATTCTATATTTTATACTATATATAAAAGAGAGAAGGAACAAAATAGCCATGAATTATAAGTGAGCCATCATGAATACCTCTCATCTTATTTTTGGGACAATTGAAAACAAAATTATAAAATTGGAACAAATATATCTTTGAACTATATATCAAAGAGCATGCTTTTTCCAACTTTGTGTTCACGGGCATATCAGTTCCTTATCACATATACATTCAAAATATGGCATATGTTACCCACACCTCTGCAATCCTGCAAATGACTAAAATTTACCATTGCCTAATAGTTCTACTTCTTTGTCATCACTAATAGCAGATACAACTTTATCCTTAGCGAATTCCACATCTCCTTCGTCAGAACGAACGTCTTCTCCCAGAGGTTTATACCTATAAAACATAGCACATGTGACATAGTACACAAGATTGAGTACTTGTATTCCTGTTATGAGCCAATAGAAGTTTTCCAATCTCCCCCTGTTTAGATTTCGGTCTGGAAGCCAATTCCCTTCTGTGCCAGTGTAGTTGTGCACTAGAGACACCACAAGAGTACCCATGTAATTTCCCAGTGCAAAAGTCAAAGAATTGAGTGCAGCCGCAGTGCTTCTCATGCTTTCTGGGGATTGCTCAATCAGAAACTCAAGATGACCGACCGACATGAAAACCTCTGCTACCCCATGCAGGCAATATTGAGGAACTAACCAAAAGACACTTATGGGTATTATGGCAGTAGGTTGATCAAGAAGATTGTGCTGTTTGGCTGCTGCTTTGCGTTTTATCTCAACAAGGGCTGAAACAATGGTGGCAAGGATGTTAACTGCAAAGCCTACGCCCATTCTCTGGAGGCATGTGATGCCTGAGGGGTTTTTGGTGAACCTGCGAATATAAGGTACAAAAACACGCTCATATAGAGCAAGTCCTATAAGGACAGTTAAGATAGTGAAGACAGACATGCTGGCTGGAGGGATTTGGAATGAGTGGGAGAGGTGGCGATCCATACTGCGTGCTTGTTGGATGGTAAAGCTGCCAATATGTGAATATGAGGTGATGAGTAATATGCCAGCTGCCCAAACAGGTAACATTCTGAGGATGCACTTCAGTTCCTCCACCCTATGAACAGTGGAAAGCCTCCACGGGTTTGGCTCGTTATGTTCATTCAAGTCAGAATCTGTTACCACAGCTGCTCGGTCAATACACCTTGAAACATCAGTACAAGAAATTACATAGAAGTAAGTTACGGTGCGCTTGGGAAGGAAAACGTGTGAAGCAAAGCTATTCAGTTGTGTTTGGTGTTACATTAGAGAAGGAAAAGGAAATTAATTAGTTTTTAAATTCATTTTTCCTATATTTAGATTTCTTGATCATGGCCTGACTAAATCACCTACCATAAAACACTTCTTAAATGGTCTTTCTTTTTCATGCTTGAAACACATTATAGTGTTGTTTGGGAGGACGAAATTAAAAGAAGCCACAATTTGCAACCATTTGTTTATAAGTTGATCTTCTAGCTTGCATAGAATATATTAAGCACACAGACTATAGTTGTGGTAAATGGTAACGTTTTATAAATTGAAATAAAGCTTACTGGAACTGATCGGTATGCAGAAGCCTCCCATTGGGTGAGATTGCAGCATCAAGTTGTTTATTCTCATACAGGAGACCTGAATCAGTAGGCATGACAACATTTCTCTTCCTAACAGATGCAACAATCACCTGTGCCAATCTTACCAGTGGACTACCTCCGGGTTTTACTTTTCTATAAAGAGGGGATCCTAAAATGAACACAATAACCGATAATCCCATAGCAATGGTTGGAAGCCCGAGACCCCAAGCCCAACTCACGTTATCTTGGATATAAACAATGACAGTAAGAGCTGTTAGTGTGGCCAATCCCATGCAAAAATAGTACCAATTGTAGAAATTCCATTTGCGGCCCTCCACTTTTGTCTTTGACATGTCAATCTGATCAGCTGCAAAAGTTATAACACAAGGCCGAATGCCTCCAGCACCAATAGATGTCAGTAGTAGACAAATATAGAGGACCCAAAGCTGAATGTGTGAAGCTTCTGTGCAGTCCTTCTGACTGGGGCATGGTGGAGGACGGAGTTGTGGCATAATGGCTGAGATAGTTATGCTTATCATTCCCTGTTGTAAAAAACATATAATAGATGATTAAGTCATCTAACATACACTAAATATGAAAATACAAACCCTGCCTAGCTATGATTACACGTCTACTTCTCCTATCAAGTTTTAATATGATATCAGAACCATTTACACTTAAATAAGCAATCAATTTGACTGACTCAAAAACGAAACATGAACTTCAAGATTTGTTTGTTCTAAAGAGCCACCGTCTTTCCGGGCATGTCAAGTCATTTCACACTGAGAAATTGAAAAGGCACAAGCATATAAGGTCTTATACTACGTACTTTAAGTATCTCTCATACTAAGTTGACCGTGTAAGATGGAATCCAAAAAAGATTCATATTTTGCATTTTTGGATGAACTTTTCTTAAGTTGTTTGTCTATAACTGATGATCTTTTCGTAATGTTGTCAGCAAAGCATACTTCTTGTGACCAATATATGAAATTACGCTACTTGAGAAGGGTGGTAATTCCACCATGGTAAAAGAGTTTTCTGAAAAATATGTTAAGTCATAATTATATTACAACCAGTGAGCAATTCTCTTCTTTATATTTACATGTTCACACAACACACACATAGAGGGGGATATACCAGCTCATAAATGATAGATCCAACAATGATGGTCCAAAATCGTCCCGCAAAAGAATCAGCGATGAGAGCACCAATGAGTGGCATGAAACTTGATGTCCCGCCGAAGTTGGTAAGTGTATTAGATGCCTTCACAAGGGGCAAATTTAGCACTTGTGTGAGGTACGTAATCATGTTGGCATGAAAACCAACACCAGCAAATCTGTCGCATATTTCATTAGCTGTCAAAATACAAAAGTGAATTGCATTAGTTTCAATAGTTGCCCTAACACAGATCATTATGCCAAATATTGAAACACACCGAAATCACTTAGAGATGAATACAATGTCATCTTCTGAGGTAACAAAATAGAATGCGAAGACGGTCAAATATCAGAAGTAAATGTCAAGATTCAGAGCACCACTAGATCAGTTGTGAGAAATACATGAGACAAATGCAAGAAACATACAACCTGTATGGTATTTTAGTTAGAACATGTCTAACTATATGGGAGTGACAAAAAAGCTCTGTTAGATAATCTATCAAACACACCACCTGCATGTCAACAATCCTAGAAGTATCATTACATAAAAACCTACCACTTTTTCGAATACACTCCTTGGCCGACTTCTACTTTGCTATCCCATATCCCTATGGGGCTTCCTTCTCGTGGCAATCATCCTGTGTGTCTTTGTTCTGTGCTCGTTAACATTAATACATTATTGGTAGTAGTTTGAATTTCTTCTGTAATCCTTAACATTATTGATAATAGTTTGAACCGAAAAAAGTTTTGCCGTTTTCGTGGGACGCAATTGGTATTTGCAGTTATAATTTTGTACATGATATTCTTCTTTCCCACTGTTGGTTATCTGTGAGTGTGATAAACTTAATTACTTATTGTGCTCAAAAGCCTCAAATTGTATTAAATTAAATTTTAAATATTTAGAAAATAGCTTTAAATAATACAAATTATCTTTCATGAACTAATAATAATACGTAATTTAAAAATAACTTGTAATAACATCAACTATTTAAATATAGATAAAAGTGAATAAAGTGAATAGAGCATTTTCTCACCAAAAATTTTGTCATTTAATTCACCAAAAACTAATATTAAAATATCAAATGAGTGAATGTATTTTCGAATATCATTTATTTGATGGTTTGCAATTAGGTTCAAAGTCAAAACGCGGATAAATAGGCATTCTTGCCTAGGGTCAGAGGCGGCGTTCGTTTGCATAGTTTGGGGCACAATTTCTTCTTCGAGCAAAGCAACAATGTAGCAAGGCTTCGAGTAGGCATATTGTCTAGGGTTTAGTAACGGCGATTCGTCAGCATACTTTGGTGCAAGGTTTTCTTCGAGCATCACAACAACGATGTAGAACTCCAATCAAAGGGATTTTCAGTTGACAACAACAACGCGCAAGAGGATAGCGATGGAAGGCCACCGGTTGAAGAGATAGAGGTTTTAATTGGCTCAAACTTATGGCAGGATGGTGATGGGAGAAGAAGTCAGGAACAACCTGTAAGTCAATGATTGATTGGACTTGAAGGAAGACGGTAAAGTGTTATTGGAATGAGTGATTAGGTTTTGGATGCTACTTTTGGTTATTTTTGCTTGTTTATTTGTTATTCTTTCATTCAGCACTTACACGATATAATTTCTGGTTTGTGGTTTTAGTCATTAGTTTGGGAGAAAGCAATCAGACTATTTTGACCAATAACAACTTTGAATATATCATATATTTAGCGATCAGTCTTGCTTATTATTGAACAGTCTATTTTATGTCTGATCAAATGGTTAAACAGTCTAGAGGGAAGGTGTGCACAATTTGAAGGCTGAATGTTTGATTTGAATGATACACTGTTGCTTGTTTGTTTTTATGAGTTAACACAAGCAATTTTCAATCAAAAAAAATCAAAATTCAAAATCATTACGGATGTAAAAGGGAGATACCAAACATGACGATGTTTAGGTGATGCTACACTCACTTTAAATTGTTGTTAATCATATCATGTAAGACTAGGCTAGCTAAAAATGGTGTGCTTGTTTTCTTTTAATTGAACGGATCATATCAAATCGATTATATTAAAAATGACATCAGACTATTTTTCACAAGAACCCATCATAAATATTTACACCAAACTCATTTCGATACTACTCCGTATAAAAAATAAAAACTTTGGGATTAATTAGATAAAAACAATGAATAAATTTCACTTTTGGTCCTACGAGTATCACACTGATATCATAATTAGTCCACGTCTTTGACTTTGACCATTTTTTGTACTCCCTCCATACGGTAAAGATCACTGCAATAGGCTTTGGCACAATATTTAAGGAGGAAATAGTAGGGGTAATGAATAGTGTAGGAAAAGTAGGAGAGAAGGTAAAAAAGTATGAAAGAGAAGATAAAAAGTAGAAAAAGTAAGGGTAGTTGGAGATTTTTAAAGGAAAAAACTTACCAAAAAAGGAAAGTGTAACAAACCTTTAAATACATCCCAAAAAGAAAGTGTAGCAAACTTTAGAATATGGAGGGAGTATATGACTATTGTGTTTTCACCCATATATGATCCTTCCGGCAATAACTATGATAGTTAAAATGCCAGAGAAGAGCAATGAATGATAAAAAACATTAGTTTAGTACTAAAAGTGGACAAAATGAAAGACGTGAAATAACTTTGGAAATGACATAAAACTCATAGGACCAAAAGTTGAATTAATTCTAAAAAATTAATGTATACAATTAATTCACAAGATATTAGGAGTGTTTTTAATTGAATTGAAACTTTGTAGCTTTTTCTCGCATGTTTAAATCCGATGTAGTCTGATATAGTCAGAACTAATTTGGTTTGGTAGATCTTTTTATAATTGTCGATTTCTTATTTGGTCTCATCTTAAATAATAAGTCCGATTTGATTATCTAATCTATTAAATTCTGATTTCAACTCATTGTTAATTTGTTCTATCTAATTTGAGACTAAAATCGGTCCCAAGTATTAAAACACTCACAACATGTCAAACTTGTAACTTGTAAGCAGTACCACGTCATAACTTACTAGTTACTAATACTTGTTTAAAATGGGACGATGGACCATACTACTAGACCTGGACTCGGGCCGGGCGGCCCGGCCCGGTTACTGTGAGGCCCGGCCCGGCCCGGCCCGGAGCCCGTGGGCCCACCGGTTCGGTTCGGCCCGGCCCGGCTGCTGGGCGGTTCGGGCTCGGGCCGAGGTTTTGGCGAACCGGCCCGGCCGGTTCGGGCCCGGTTCGGTCCGATTTTTAATTTTTTTTTTTTTTTGAATTTTTTTAAACTTTTGGGTTGGATTAGGTATTTTGGGCCATTTGAGGTGGTTTGGGGTAGTTTGGGGTTGAGGGGGAGGGGTTGGGGGTTAAATAGAAGAGCCAAAAAAAAAAAAAATCGGTTAGGCCCGGCCCGGCCCGGTTTGGCCCGGAACCGGAACCGGAACCGCCCACCGGCGGTTCGGGCCCGGGCCCAACTATCCTGGCCCGAGGCCCGAACCGGGCCCGAACCAGCCCGAGTCCAGGTCTACATACTACATTCAAATAGTCCGTACGTATAATTCAAGTAATTGGAAAACAACATAAACCAATTAAGTTTACTCTCCCTTTCGTAAAAAAAGGATTGGAATATATAGATCCGGATTCGAGGTCTTCCATGTTAGGTCACGATAGAGGAAACTTGGTAGAGAACATGGAGGATAAGAGGCAGGGATAGGAAGAACCTACAGTACTGTTGGGTCGTCCCCTTCCCGAACCGCTGCCATGGAGTGCAGGAGAGTCTAGGGTTTGGAATCAGCATTTTAATTTTATTGTTTGCTTACTATTTATTTTTCATGATTAGATTGTTTATTTCTCTGTTGGTTATTTTTATCGTTGCAAGAATCTTGCATTAGGATTGGATGATGCGAGATCTGCTTTAACCATCGTTGGCTCATTTATGCCCATTATAAGATTAGCGAGTCAAATTGCTTTTTTGAAGGTGATTGACTCTAAATCTAGTTCGAGAGTTGACAGTTTCCTGTGGTCCTTTTGTCATTTTACCCCTATTTGAATGTTGTGATATCCATTTAAGTACCCCTTCTTTCAAAAAAAAAAAGTTTCCTCTCGCTTTCTTTTATCCCAAATTTAAATATTGCCGTTTCATGAAGTCAATGAATATTTTATTTTTTCGCGTTGGTTCTTAACTTCTTATCGCATAAAGTCTTTTGTACTGTATCGAAAAAATAAAGTCTTTTGTACTTTTGAATAAATGTAGCGGCGTTTAAAATTTTAATAATGACAGAAGAATCACTTAACAATATTTCTTAAATTGTGTGAAATTTTTTAAAACAGCAATTATTTATAAGGCTGTAGATTAAATACAAGACGAATAAAACTAGAGAGAGCTTCATGAAAAAGAATCATGGAATGCCAGAATCATCTCCTCAATTGAGAAGAATAGATCGAGAGTAGCATGTAATTAGATCTACACACTTGATGAAATTTATGTTAAATTCATATCATTTAAGAATCTTTTCCGGAACATTTTCCTACCCCAAACTTAATCCTATGCGAATTGAATATTTGATCATTTAAGAATTACCTCCTTTGAGGTTTCAAGCAAAAATAATAATTCTCTCTTAATAACTAACCTACATATTTTCGTTCATGGTTTAGCTTATTGAAAGTACTATGTAGTTCATTATGATTGTATCCAAATAAATTATGAGCCCTCAGAAACGGACTAAATTGATTGACTATACTGAAATTTAAAGTTTTGCTTGAAGTAGCTAGATTGGCTGATTGTTAAGACCCGAGATTTCATCCTAAAAGGTCAACCTGATAGGAGTAGCTCAAAACCTTATATAGTGTTTAAATGTTTTATAGCTTTCCGGTGTGAGACAAATGTTTTAACACGCTTCCTCAGTCCGAACCGGGCTGAACAATATCGGGGGTATAAATGGGCCAAACAAACCCTTGACAAGCTATTTTTCATGGGTGCTAAACAAGCCGTCAAACCACAACCGGAATTGGCTCTAATACTATGTTAAGACCCGGGATTCCATCCTAAAATGTCAACCTGATAGGAGGAGTAGCCTAAAGCCTTATATAGTGTTTAAATTTATATAACTTTCTGGTGTGGGACAAATGCTTTAACACTGATTCTACTGAATTATGAAAAATAGCTAAAATGGTCGAACTTCAGCCAATCTGTCAAAAAAATAACTTCAACCTTGAGTATTTTGAGTATTACACAATTCAACACGCAAAATCAAAAGTTACGCATTTGATGAAAAAGTTAGTTGATAAGCCGCAAAATAAGATCACCAAACGAGCTCATATCCTACATCCAACCACTTTTGAGCAAACTCTTAAAAATGATCTTGAATAAAATCAATTACAAAATTGATCAAAAAAAAATCAATTACAAAAATAAACAATACGGAGTGTATTATAAATCAATTGGTAATTAAAATAATCTAATTTATACAAATCCGAAGTAACGCCAATATTAAAACTATATGAAGAATATTTCAAATCAGTTAAGTTCATTCAATTATCTGCCATTAATTTACCTCATAAATAAAATATCAAACAAAAAATTAAAAGAAAATAAGTTCTTACAATCTCATTGATCATACTTATTTGACAGGCCAGGATTTCTGGAAATAAAAAATAAAACTGAAAAAAGTATAAAATAATGAAAGGTTACATACCAAGAATGAATGGCATTGTTTTAATGCCCCCAAGCTTTTTAATTCTGCCATTTTTAGCTGCTTCCTCCTTCTCATCAGCTCCTCCATTTTCAGGAGCTTTCTTCATCGTTTTCTCCTTCATATTTGCATCCATATATGTATGAGAATTATTTTATAATTATTATCGCATAAAGGCCAAAGGCAAGAATTGCAGACAGAGGCACAGAGCAGAAGCTGCTGAAAGCCTACTGAACTGATTACTTAATGTGGTGGGCACTATATATATATATATAGAGAGATCCAGAAGTTATCATATCATCTCATATTTTTAATTATGATAATGTTTAATGTTATGACTAGCATGTGATATATATATATCTCTTGGAGTCTTGGTTTCTTAAATTTAGGGATGACAATTGACAAGGCTAGGGGCGGGAACCCGCACGGGCACCCGCCTCAAGGCTTGAAGGAAGATTGGATAATACTACATCCGTAGCGTCGGAATCTTCCCAAATTGAAAGTAGGTGAGATTATGAATAGTGATAGGAGATATAAATTATTAAAGGTACGATGAGAAGATTTAGAAATGAGAAGATTATTTAGTTACGGCTAAAAAAGGAAAATGGTAAGATCTTTACGGAGGTAGTAGAATAAGAGAGTTTGGTTGAAAAGGTATTCAAATAAAATATACGGAGTGTGAACAATAATGTGATTAAAATCACTAAGTATACTTCTTCATTAGCTATTTAATATAATGTAAACTTTATGATTACTCCACTTCATATGATTTATTTCAGTAGGGCCGTCTTTTAACATGTTAATTAGATTAAACAAAACATGACTTCACTTCTTATGGGCCCCCCATATTTATAAGGCACTAGTAGTAGTATTTTTAGACCATTAGCATTAATTAATAACATAATTAATAATCTAATGTAATAGTGTATACTATCGTACGGAGTATATGAATATCCTCATAAATTCATATTTATGAGCTAAATTCACTTCTCATGTTGCAACTAAATTCATATTTCACTACTCCATATAAGAATGCCTTCATAAATTGTTACAAAAAATTGTAGAGATTAATTATTTGAAATTGAAAATTTTCTACTTCTAATTTATTAATTTCATTATTTAATAAGTATTCAATTGATTTGAGTATAATAAGAATTTAGTTTAAGAATTTTTTATTTTTTATATTGCAGTGGGGCCTCAAATTTAATTATAAATTTGAATCGGGGCCTCCAAATTTATTAGACGGCCTTGCATTTCGGTTTCTTACCATCAGTGTATTTTTATAATTTATAATTAATATAAATCATACTAGCGGCGTACACATTACATTTGAGTTGTGCCCAATATGTTACACCTACTATTGCTAATTAAAAAAAGAATCAATTCATGTTGTAAAATGTTCAATTTTTCATTAACCCAAATGACCTTTGCATATGCATATTTAAAAACACTAAGGAATATATCAGTTTAATTGATACTTGTATTAAAATCCAAAAGTATGATTTAAAAACCGACCCGGATAGGAATGAGAAAAATTAGAAAATGATTAAGTCGAATTCCATAATCTAAAAACCAACCCGGTTTTTGATAAGTTTTGATTGATGGCGTTACATGTGATCACTGACTAGCTCCTAAATCAAATTACATTTACACAATTTTATTAGTAGTGTGACAATGCAAACAACAAATTAAATACAACATTATAAATATCATTATATATTTTGGTTAGTTTTTTTTACCTCGAGACTCCTGAGGTAAGGTGGAGGGGGTTGGAGGGAGCCTAGGGTAAATAGTACTTAAACTCCCTCCATGGAGTTTCGAACTTGAGACTTTCGTATATAAGAGTGAGTTGCAGACCAGGTGAGCTGGATCGCTTCCTTATTTAGTTTGGTTTATTAAAATGCATGGACGATATGAAAAGTGGTCTAAGTAGTTTTGGGAATGAAAGAGGAAGCAACCTAGCTCAGTTGGTTGCCGATATACTATCTCTTATGGGAGGTGCCGCGTTCAGAACTGGATTCAATGAATTTGTGGGCTGAGCACAACCTGAGATCCTACCAAATTCCCTTTTACACTATACCACCTATGGAATATCTTGAAAGCACAAAACACGTGGTTATTTGAGGGTAAGTATCTGGAAGTTGAAACTATCGTTAAGCGGCCATGGACCCTTACCGACAACACTACAATAGCTATGGGAAAAGAATTGTTTCACAAAAATCGAGTCCCTAGAATAGTCAAATGGCAATATCCGCATCATGGTGAACTCAAACTCAACACAAATGGTTCCTTTCGGAGGGAAACAAACAATGCAACAATTGGGGGCATTGTTTGAAACCACATGGGAAACTGGGCCACTGGATTTGTGCTAAATATTGGGCCAGTGAACATCTGAACTGTGGGGCATTCGTCAAGACATGATTCTCATGCATGACAAAGATCTACACGATGTGGTGGCTGAAATCAATTCGGAGGCTCTTGTATGTACCATTAAATGAAGTGTTAATGTTAAAGGCGATGCGCTAAACCCTATCATGAAAGACTGCCGTTATCTTCTTATTTCAAACTCATGTCAAGGGCACACATCATTCTCTATGAGAGGATAACAAATGCGTTGATTTTTTTTTTATAGAAAAAATGGCTCGTTCGTATCCCGAAAGAATGACTATTCTTGAAAAGGCACCAAAAGAGTTAGCTTACCTAGCTTTCTTTGGGAGGACAAAAATGGACTCGAAATTGTTAGACTATAGTCTTTGTTATTGAGTTTTTTTCGCATTAATGCAATTTAATTAACACTACTAGAGAATGAACTTTTAACGTCGGTTATTTTATACTTATAACGTCAGTTCTGGAACAGACGTGTAAGTGAGAGACGTTATAGGTTAGATCCTATGACGTCGGTTACAAAACCGACGTGAAAGGATTTTTACTAATTATTAAATATTACCTACCACGTCGTTTCCGCCAAAAAACCGACGCCTAATGTATTTCTTAAAAACTAAATAAATACCTTTTAACGTCGGGTTCGTGGAATAACCGACGTCCATTAACTTTTTAAAAAATTATATAAAAAATGTTTAACGTCGGTAGGTCATGTTTAATAACTGACGTGAAAGATGGTTTAGTTTTTTTTCCCCCACCCTGAAGAAACCGTATTGTTCCTAGAATCTGCTATATGCTAATATCATGGTGCAGCAGTTTTCAAGCTTCCACAACAATGAAACCATCACATGTACTGAAAATGTATTAAAATATCACAAATATTACAATCAAGTCATGCAATCTAGTCTCAAAATAGGTTCAAACACCAACATACATTTGGAACCACGTTCAAATACCAATACAAGTTCTGAAATAAACTGGAGACCTGGAGTCAATACTCATAAGCTACATAACACCATTACATTATATCATAAGTTATGAAGTGAGTTAAAGTTCAACACCACAACTCATAAGCTACATTTGCACATCGCTTTGCACCACATCGCTCTTACAAAATCTAAATCGCCCTGTCTGTAGTTTTCACGATCGAGCATCTACAAAATATAATTTAAATGGGTGTTAATTAGAAATATTAATTATTTGAAGATACATATTACTGAAAAGTTACCTTGTTCATTGAGGTTTTTTTTGCCTTGGAAGAGATTATGTCATACATGAACCTCATGACATAATAACCGCTCTCGACATTTCCCAGTTGCTTCGGGCACTGTATTAGAATCAGATAAACATAAAGTACATAACTACAAAATACTAAGGTATTTAAATACTATGTATAAAAAACTTACCTGACAAATAACCCATTTTGTTGTGCTATAACGATTTGCAGAAGTTCTACCTTTTACCGCAGCTTGTTTGAACGACCTATAGATTTATACCGGAGAAGACTATAAGACACATAATGTATCATGTACGACAAAATAAAAATCAGATAAATGTAGAATCAACACTAAAAATTTAAGCATATCTCAATCATCAACATTAATAATGGTTAATAATAAAATGGGAAAACTAATTAAACCAAGTAACGTACACTTCTATTATTTGCTTGATGTCCTGAGACGGCTGACCACCAAATGAGTCAAACCAAAATGCCTCGTATGAGCTTTGACAAATAACACATAATGTCCAATGGCAACTGTATAAATTAAAATGAATGTTTTCCATATGGATATTAATAGCTATTTGATTTATTCATAAAAACGAACTATAAGGCTATCATAACTGTATTTTGTATGTCTACAAAAAAGGACATACCTCTCATAATATGGGGCAAGATAATACTTTTTTGTTCCTCTCAAAAAAATGGTAGAAAGGTACGCAATCTTGTCATTGTCATCTGTCTTTTGTTGTACCATATTTGGACACAAGAGACCGAACATTTTATTTGCTTTCAAGTCAAGCTGCTGATACAAACATCTATTAAATGAAAAAAAAAGCTTTTATCAACACACTAAAGTAGCAATATAATAAACGTTAATTAAAAAAATGCATATATGTTGGGCCTTATTTCTTTTTTAGCAATAGTGAAGCCTCACACGTTGAAAACGTGAAACCAGTTCAAAATAACATTTGTAAACATGGGTAGTACTATATAACCCAACATTTGAAACATATATAGGAAGTATTATATGACCCAGACTTTGTTTCATTAAATAGATCCATAAAAAGGGTGTATAAGAAAAATTAATCTGCTCTGGGGTTCTTTGAGAAGGAATCAGAAGTGGTATTTGTTGCCAGGCCAATGCAGTCTCATTCAGTCTCTATCAACATGAAACAAATCAATGCAATCCACTGAGAATTAAAAAAAATGCAAATAACAAACATTTCTTGCTTCAAACCACATCAATCACTGAGAAAAACAGCCTCAAAACCCTAAATAAATACGGAGTATATAACTGAAAATCATGTTCTACTTCCTTATGTCCATTCAAGCAAACATGTATGTTACAATACCTGGCTGAACTTTGTTTGAAAATAGGAGTTAACCCCATCAAATGAACGCCGGAGGGTAGCGAACTCCTTATGAGCATCATTGGACACCAGAAGCCTCACCACTCCTTCCCAGTTGAATAAGAGGCTATTTCTGAGAAAACTATTGGTTACCTCTGTAGCACCATCTCTACCAACAGTTTTAGAAGGGTTGTTCCTTAATATGCAAAATAAATAAAAGAAGTCCATAATCAGATAAGAAAACTTTGTTTATCTTTGATTTATCTCATTTATTCTGAAATTTCTTCTGTAACAGAAGGTGTACATCATGTCAAAGGAAACCTTATATTTCTTCTTCAAGCTTGGTCTATAGACTCTAAAGAGATGATTTGTACGCA